ACCCCGACTCTGAAAATGAAGCTGTTGCTCTGAGGCAGGCTTCTGGCTGAATGCTGCACCATCAGGGCAGTGTGTGACTTGTCTTGGGGGTCTGCCCTGGCACGTGGCAAGCTGGGCTGTTCCTCTGGAGACCTTGGCATGGGCACGCCTGTCCTGCAGCAAGGTGGGGAGGGACGGACCTGCAAGCAGTGCACTGGGCCTCAAAAAGGTGCCCACGTCCCTGCCAGAACCAGGGCGGAAACTCTTCTTGTTGCTGCTGCAAGCTCCTGCTCTTGCTTGTGGGCTCCTGGGGGCACTTAATGTCAGGGCTGCTTCAGGAGGCTTGTCAGATGAAACAGTCTTGTGCGGGAGCCGGTCTCCCTAGAAAGATCCTGTTGGAACTGGAGATGGGCTTGGGCCTGGGGAGGTGATGATGTGCATTGGAGATCTGTCACCGCTGCTGTCCTGTGCAGTGGGCGTGTGTGGCTGGGATCTTAGCTGCTGCCACGTGTGGGCTCAAAGCAGGTTCTGGTGGGCCCTATGGGCTGCTATTGGCTTCCCTGGTAACTGCACCCTCTCTGAGTCCATCATGGGCAATGGGGCTCCCTGGACTGCAGCGTGAAGTGGGGTGGGTCAAGGCGCACGTGGCTTTTTTTGTGGGAGTAATTCTGGCAAGTTTTCGGGAGCTTCTCCTGGAGCTTCAACATTGTCTTGATTTGGGAAATGGGCATTTGGTGGCTGCTTTGAGAGGCCTGGGGCCAGACCTGCTTGTCGGCTCTGTCTGGAGCAGAGCTCCAATGCACCGATGATGGGAGGGACCCCAGCTGTGCCCCGTGGGCCTGGTGTTGTGCAAGTGGCAACTGAAGCTGATATTTTATCTTCCTGTTAAAGCGCCTGGGCTGCAGTCTCCCAGGCAGCTTGGGCCAAGTGATTTTTATTGCCCACTTCGGCGCTGGCTGCCTCTTATCTGACCCGAGAGAAAATGCTCTTTGTTTTTGTACTGTGTCCTTCGGGCAAGAAATGGCCCCAGGCCTTAGGATGGGAGAGCGCCTTGTGCGGGCTGTGGGGAGAGGAGAGCAGTGGTCCTGGAAGGGGCTGGGTAAGTTCATGCCCCACTGGGGAGCCTGGGCTGAATTGGGATCTGTGCACAAATTTCCTCTTGCCTCCTCCCCTGCCGCGGTCACCACCCAGGTCCTCCAACCCCGTGAGCAGTGCTGCATGGGGACGGGGCGCTAGGCTGTCTTCAACAGGCCTAGTGTCTTTACGGGTAGCATTTGCCATGTGCTTCCCCTTCCCTTCAGCCTGGATCACCCCTGCGGCCAAGCTCCCATCCAGGGTGCTTTGCTGTTAGCGAACTTACTCGGGCAGCTACGCGGGCCCGTGCTGGAGCTTTATCTCGCTAGGGAACGGGGTATGCCTCGCGGCTGACTATTGCGTTCCTGCTCTCCCGATTAGCAGCAATTGTTTGTGCTGCGGCAGAACGTTGTGAGCCGAGAGCAGCAACTCGCTGTGCCGGGACAGTCCCTGCCCCAGCCAGCTTACAGTCTGAGCAGGTGGTGGGAGGGAAAAGAGATGAAGAGACATGCCTGAGGTCACGGAGCACATCAGTGGCAGAATCCTGTCCTCTGTGTGCCAGTGGGGTGCCCCAGCCCCCCCCCCCCCCCATGGTTGTTGGGTCAGCATCCTAGGCTAATGACCCAGTGAGCGCTGACCTCCCACCGCGCCAAGTTCTTGCAACAGCCGGTGGGAAGGTCAGGCTCTCTGCGGGAGGGCGCAAGAGCTGACGTCAAAGGAAGCAGCGGGTGATTCACTGGCTCTCCACAGCGCGTGTCTCTCAGGCTGTAACTCATCTGAGAAATGTCATCTCATCCTTGAGCGTTATCGCTCCTGTCAGTCTCCCTACCCCCCCCACAAGCCTGCTGGGAGATAATTGAGCTCTCCAGAAGATACGTGCGCAGCTCACGTGGGCTGGTTGCAAGGCAGGGGACTTCCCCAGCCCAGAGGGCCCCACTGCAGTACACCCCTTGTGGGCCAACTGGGGTCAGGGAAGGCTTGGCTCTGCCACTGCCCTGTGAGGTGACCTTGGGTCTGGCCCTTTGCTCCTTCCTGGTTAGCAGAACAGGGCTCTGGGGTGAAGCGCTTTGGGTCCCGTGAATAAGGAGGAGGCATACAGGGGGTTGGGGCTGGGGCCGGGTGCGACTGGCCTGGGTGCAGGGCGCGCTGTTCAGCTGATGCTCTGGCCAAGGCAGCTTTGAGAACGGTTTGCACAATGACGGGCCGGGTGCACCAGGCCAGCCTGTCGGCCTTGTGCTTGCAGGCAGCCGGGGCTCCAGGCCCGTGTGGTCACCAGCCTGTCCTTGCCCACAGCTCCACAATGGCACCAGAACAGCAGGGCAGAAGAAGTCTGATCCCAGTCTAGACTGGGGCCCAGCTGAGCCACAGCTGGCACCGTGGCCTGCCCAGACCAGAGCCAGGGGCAATGCCAGGCTTAGGGAAATGCATTAACTGGCTTCCTGTGTTGAAGGCAGGTCGTACCTGCGTGCTTTTGGGGTTTTTACTGTCTACAGTGCAAATGGTTACTGTGATGTCAGACCTCTGCTCACGACCTGTCCGCTGTAGGTTGGGACCCCCTTGGGTCTCCATTCCTAGCAGCCCCCAAGCTGACTGAAGGCTGGTGTGAAAGGCCGGTCCCACTCTCCCCCTGAGATGTCCAGCTTCTGCAATCTGCAGTCCTCCCTTGGGAGTAAATCTAGAGACCAGGCTATGATCCATCTCCTTTGAAGGGTGCAGGGCAAGGCAGCTGCTGGATCCTCAGAGGTAGCAACTGGGAGGAAGCCACAGGCAGTTGTGTGGAGAGGGTGTAATTGCAGTGGTAATACCCTGCCTGTGTTACTGCACCGTGTGCAAGTCAGGCAGCAAATGTTTGCCTTGAGGGGTCTGCACATGGCCAGGGACTGCAAGGCCGGTGGATCGGGAGCCCCCGGCACCAACCTGCTAGCACCTACTCTGTCCAAGGTAGCACTGCGCTGGGCTGCACAGGGTTAATAAAGCAGAGTTGGGGTGGCAGGACCTGCTGCTTCCCTTGATCGGAGCTGCCCCTTGCAACCCCATGACAGATGCCTGAGGAGATGACTTTGGCCTTGGCCCCTGCAGCCTGCCGTAAGCGATGCCTCTCCTTATCTCCTTGCTGACAAACAAGCATCCTTCAGCTGCAGTATTTAAGGCTGAGAGCCCAGAGGGCTGCATCAGGCGAACACTGAGCCCTGGGCCGGCTGCTGCAGAGACACGAGATCCTGAGGGCAGAGATCCTCCAGCCAAGGACCATGCTGCCAGCTACCTTCAAGTTGTGTGCTGGGATCTCGTACAGGCACCTGCGCAACATGACAGGTGAGAGGGAGCATCCCTGGGCGTCTGGGGAGGGGGCTGGCTTTGAACTGGTCTGAAAGCACTTCTTGCTTGTGATAAGTCTGCTTATTGGGGCTCCTCTGTGCGCTGTCTCTGCTCCACCATGGAGCCCAATGCCTTTT